GTACTCCAAAGTTCCTCCTTCATTTTATTTTTCCTACAATTTATTAGTTAAAGATGCCAGGGCATTTGACCTACAGGGTTTTCCACTGTCTGGATTTTGAAGATTGCATAGTCTTGGAGAAGTTCATCATGTTTTTTCTGCCTGTTGCATTTTGTGCAAATTGGCAACTGGATCTGGAGACTTAATCAGACTCAGGTTTTATCCCTATGGCACCTATAAGTGATGTAGTGTTCATTGCAAGATACATAATGTTTGTTTCTCTTTTTGTGATGTTAGCAACTGTTGACATTCATTACCTAAATTTATTAATCACTGGGGGTTGAAAAATAGTGATTTGTGATTTTGTCATTTTTCTTTTCTTTTTTCATTCAGTAGGTGGGAATATGTATAAAGTAATGCTTTCTCTTATCTCTTATTTGGTTACCAGCGATACAATTTGTTTAGGAAGAGTAGTATAAGTTCTTTCTTATTTCTCTTTATTTACCAGCTTTCAGAGTAGATAATTGGTGTCCTATTGAAAAAATATTATAAACACAAGTATTCAAACATATTTAATGGATTTCAATCAGTCTCAATTATAATCCTTTTTGAAGTTAAAATTGTCCCATTTTTGTCAGTGGGAACCTCTTCGGGTTGGCTTCTGAAATCTTTTTGAATACCTAGTAGTTCTAGATAATATCCTTTCTATTTGGTGTGACAAAATATTCCATGTTCATTTTAAATATTTTCTGGTTGAAGCCTAGAATCAGATTACAACCTGGGCACTTGAGACGCCTTCCAGGGTTGGCCATTCTTCCTAGGCCAACATCGTCTGTCTACATAAGTACAGATCTGGGGATGCAGAGACACATAGACCTCATTGTGTGTGTGTGTGTGTGTGTGTGTGTGTGTGTGTGTGTGTGAATTTATGTATATTTTGGGAATACCCTGTCACCTTGTTTTTCTGTAAATGTCCCTGAGTTTTTAGTTTTGCCATGCAGTTGCTGTTTTTGTTGTTGTTGTTGTTGTTGTTTTTATGTGAACATTTGGAAAGGCTTAAAAAATTCTACTATATCTGTTAATTTAGAGTCAATTTCAAATGGTAATCAACCAGTGTTCCTCAGTACCCTAGTCAATTGCTACCCAAAGAACCACTCTGTTAGGTGCCATATATATTGCATATGGAAATTTAAAGATACAAATTCTCTTTTAGAAAATAGACCTTTTTCCATTTCTCTATTCTGTCCATCACATTCTGTTTCATTCATTCAATGATTGGAGAGAGTCCCATTCGCCCTTCCCTTACTACCCATCTTTATGTAGGCAGTTTACAAACATCAAAGAAAATCAAGTCCTGCGTTTCACAGAAAAGTTTTACACGGACTGTTGGTTTATGTTATATACTAGGCTCAAATCTGAATATACTGTGCCTGTATCTAATATTCAATTCCACATTCAAAATGAGATTTGGCACCCTTGAGAAAGTATTGCCAAGAATGGTCTAAAAGTCCTGAAGAAAGTTCCCAAGCGAGACTTAGGTATTTTGGATTAGCTATGTCTGTGCACACAATGATTAATATTTTCTATCATAGATAAGGGAAATATTTTATTCTAGGGAAGATATAAAAATAAAATCTTCTTTTTCAGTGGCTCTAAGTCTTATTAAATTTGCAGCTGTAAGGATGATGATATTTAGCTATCTTCCCAAAGTAAATGATCTGAACTAGACACATTTTTTTAGGATCCCTTTCACAGAGTAAAATATTGGAAGTTATGATAAAGTTCTGTTTTATTATTAGGTGTTAGACTTAATATATAGGCAATAATATGTGTGTTATATACACTCTGGTTATGTTTTGAAATATTGATTATTTTGGAATAGTATTTGTTTGTCTTATTATCTAATTCAGTAGTTCTCAATCCTGGCTTGGCCGTAGAACTACCTAGACCTTTAGCAATGCTGATATCCTAGTTCTGGTCTCTGACTTAATAGATCTAGACTTGGGCCCAGTATCCAAGATTTTTAAGAACTCACCCATTGTTTTTAATATGTAGCCTTGTCCTGTCTAGTTAGTTCATAAACTTATGATATCCATTAAGTTTAGCTGGTTCCCATTAGCACAAATACTAGAACTATTTCCTTTAAAGCACAGTTAAAAAGAAACCAGCACGAACAATGAAAATGAAATAATTATATACATTAATGCCAGTTCTACTGAGCCTGGCGTCACGTGTAAATTTAACCAAAAGAACAAAACAGAGATTAAAACTACAGATCCAGAACTTGAACTAGGATTCCTAATGGAGATTAATATTTTCTTCAGCAGTCTGCCAGCTGAATCATTGTCTAATTAAATAGTTCAGATTTAGTGAGTTTGCATTTAAAGTGTTAGCAGATCCGAGAATGGGTAAAGCTAAAATGAGTTAGAATCTTTTCTGTAAATGGGAAGTTAAATTATCACAGTAATTTGATTAAATCATTTTTAAATCTCTCATGCTAAATCACATCCTTTAAAGAATAGTTTGAAGTCTTAATTGCTGTTTGTGAGCATATCTCTCTGCTATTTGTTCTTGCCTCATTTCCCATGACATCCTATAATATATCTCCTGCTGGGCAAGAGTAGTGGGAAAGGCAAGACTATGGGTAGGGCCGAGGTAACTGTGTAGCTGACTTCAAGCATTTAAAGATATGCCATGTCAAAAAAGGAAATTTATCCTGTATTGTTCTAGTAGTTAGAAACAGGACCAAATGATAGAATTTGGAGACAGATTTAGGAAAACTTAAAGAAGAAATTAATAATAATTAGTTTTGTCTTTTATCAAGGAGAATACTCTACATATTTTTCATATGACTGGCAATGTCTTCATTAGGAATATTGTAAAGAAGATGGCTGATGAAGATGGGAGTTTGAACAGGATGTGTTTAGAGGGAAATTCATCTCATTTTTTAAGGGAGTGCACATTTAGTGTTCTATATTCTAGCAGCATTATTAATTTGAAGCATCTTGAATTTAAACCTGAGTCTCACACATATTACCAGTGCCACCTGGCTTCTAGGGTTTGGGGAGGTAAAATGAGGCCACATTCACCTGAAATAGGTGCTTAATAAATGGTAAATGTATTATTTTTATTCTGATGTGTTTTTGGTCTAGTTGGAAAATAGTTATTTCAAGTTGGTTTTGTCACTGCAGAGTATAATTCCCATTTTCTCCCTCCATCTTTTACTCTGTTTTCATGTAGAGAGCTAATTATTAGACCCAGCCTAAGTTGGGAAAATCCAACTCGTCTCTGTTCCCTTATGCACAAGGTCCTTATTACAGTCTTTTGTGTACCTAGAGACTCACCATGGTGTTTCCCCATACCTCCTGTTTTTCCTTCAGTTAGCACTTAAGTGCAAAAATAGAGAGAGAGGAAGAATATCAGAGCATGTTGCCATCATCTCTATGAATGTTTTTCTGTCCCTAACATTACCAACCCTTAGACAACTTTAGAAATTATGTGTGTTTGTTTCTAAGAGACAGCACCATAGGAGGTGGATAAGATTGCCATGCTGAGAGGAACCAGACTGGAGAGAAGCTGGTTAGAAATAATCCACAGGGAAAGGCTAGGCGTATGTTGGGGAGTGACTTGAATCCCGCTCCAGGGCACACTGTCAACATTATTTCCCACTTTGGAAAAATTCCTTGTTTTTGCTCTGCCAGGCAGAAATTGAGTCTTGAGCAGTAAATACTTATAAGCAATTTTATTCCAGATTATTCAAAGTTTTTTTTTAAAGAGATGTCGTTAAACTACCTAATGTTAATAGTGATCAATTCACCAGTGATGTGGTGGAATGATTCAAAATGACAATGTGAATGGGAAAAAAAAAAAAAAAAAACCTAAACAAAATACGAATAAATTTTAAGACATGCTACTGGTTATATCTATCTTTTCATTATTTTGCCATATTTCTTTTTTATTATATGTTTAGCCACTTGCTTTTAAATTACATTCCCTCTCTCTTTTTGTTCATGTGATCTATGTTTGAATTGTATGAAAGATTAGGCTAACTACATATATCTTAGAGCTCAGCATTCTCAGAGAACTAGAATTATTAAACATGAAGAATCCCCCAAAGACTCCATTATGTGTAATTAACAGATAAACTGTCATCAGAATCAATAAAACGTGCTAAATGATTCAAACTTGTATATAATTAAGTGTCTGCTTTAGAGCTGGAGCTGTAACTTTTATTTTTTCCCCACATCTCACATTTCTCACAAGAATAATTTGGCAACCTTGTTAACCCTTTCTTTGCTTGATGGAATTAGATGTTCCAATTATTCATTTAAGGGTAAAGTTCACCTTTACAAATGTGAAAAATATTTCAGAACTCAGTGATCTGAAGACACCATTTGTTTTTCATCAGGGAAGTAGACTATGTAAGGACGTTTTAATGAACTGATACTACAACTTTAAACATCCTAAAAGGATAAATAATGTATTGTGATTTCTGTATAGTGCTAGATTCAGTGTATTCACATGGAGTTCTTAGGAACTTAGTCATCAATTTTTTCCCCTCTTTGGGAAATACTGGCTTTTCCAGGCAAGATCGGAATTTTAAACAACCTTCCCCCACACAGCACTAAGATAATACTTTTAATAGATGGCCTTCCATGGTTGTTTGTTGAGTGTATGAATATAAACCTGGATGAGACAATGAATAAAATAGAAATAGTCAAGACTGTAATCTGTTAAAAGAAAGCCTTCTCCTGCTCAGCCTGAGGAGGAAAAATACACACTTTAAATCATAGATCTTTTCTAATAATTCCCATCTTCTAAGCTAGTATTAAACATTATGTAGGGAAATTTAGAAAGAAATAGAGACTGAAGAAATGTGAGACTCCGAACAAATCACAGTTGCAAGCTTAGAGAAGTTCAAAAATAATAATAATTAATTTAATAACTAATTTTATAACTCTAGTCTACATAGGTTTGTTATGATTAATATAATTACTTATATCTTTTCCTTCATTGCACAGACTCCATGCACATAGAAGATGTTGAAGCCGTTCAGAAGCTTCAGGATGTCTTACATGAGGCGCTGCAGGATTATGAAGCTGGCCAGCACATGGAAGACCCTCGTCGAGCTGGCAAGATGCTGATGACACTGCCACTGCTGAGGCAGACCTCTACCAAGGCCGTGCAGCATTTCTACAACATCAAACTAGAAGGCAAAGTCCCCATGCACAAACTTTTTTTGGAAATGCTGGAGGCCAAGGTCTGACTAAAAGCTCCCTGGGCCTTCCCATCCTTCATGCTGAAAAAGGGAAAATAAACCCAAGAGTGACGTCAAAGAAACTTAGAGTTTAGTTAACAACATCAAAAATCAACAGACTGCACTGACAATTTAGCAGCAAGACTATGAAGCAGCTTTCAGATTCCTCCATAGCTTCCTGATGAGTTTCTTTCTACTTTCTCCATCATCTTCTTTCCTCTTCCTTCCCACATTTCTCTTCCTGTTTATTTTTTCTCCCTTTCTTCTTTCCCCCTCCCTTATTTCTTTGCTTCTTTCATTCCTAGTTCCCATTCTCCTTTATTTTCTTCCCATCTGCCTGCCTGCCTTCTTTCTTTTCTTTGCTGCTCTCGTTCCTCTCTTTACTCATCTTCCTCCTGTTTTCTAAATTTTAAATAGCTTTAGTTGTAAAAAAAAAAAAAAAATCCTTCCTTCCCCCTTTCCTTTCTCTTTCTTCCCTTTTTTCCTTTTTCCCTTTCCCCTTTGCCCTTTCCCCTTTCCTTTCCTTCTGATCTTCTTTCCATCTTTCTTTTTCTTCCTTCTGCTGCTGAACTTTTAAAAGAGGTCTCTAACTGAAAAGAGATGGAAGCCAGCCCTGCCAAAGGATGGAGATCCATAATATGGATGCCAGTGAACTTATTGTGAACCATACCGTCCCCAGTGACTAAGGAATCAAAGAGAGAGAACCAACGTACCTAAAAGTACAGTGCAACATATACGAATTGACTGAGTGCAGTATTAGATTTCATGGGAGCAGCCTCTAATTAGACAACTTAAGCAACGTTGCATCGGCTGCTTCTTATCATTGCTTTTCCATCTAGATCAGTTACAGCCATTTGATTCCTTAATTGTTTTTTCAAGTCTTCCAGGTATTTGTTAGTTTAGCTACTATGTAACTTTTTCAGGGAATAGTTTAAGCTTTATTCATTCATGCAATACTAAAGAGAAATAAGAATACTGCAATTTTGTGCTGGCTTTGAACAATTATGAACAATAATGAAGGACAAATGAATCCTGAAGGAAGATTTTTAAAAATGTTTTGTTTCTTCTTACAAATGGAGATTTTTTTGTACCAGCTTTACCACTTTTCAGCCATTTATTAATATGGGAATTTAACTTACTCAAGCAATAGTTGAAGGGAAGGTGCATATTATCACGGATGCAATTTATGTTGTGTGCCAGTCTGGTCCCAAACATCAGTTTCTTAACATGAGCTCCAGTTTACCTAAATGTTCACTGACACAAAGGATTAGATTACACCTACAGTGACTCTGAGTAGTCACACATATAAGCACTGCACATGAGATATAGATCCGTAGAATTATCAGGAGTGCACCTCTCTACTTGGGAGGTACAGTTGCCATATGATTTCTAGCTGCCACGGTGGTTAGGAATGTGATACTGCCTGTTTGCAAAGTTACAGACCTTGTCTCAGAAGGAGCTGTGAGCCAGTATTCATTTAAGAGGCAATAAGGCAAATGCCAGAATTTAAAAAAAAAAAAAAAATCATCAAAGACAGAAAACGCCTGACCAAATTCTAAAACCTAATCCATATAAGTTTATTCATTTAGGAATGTTTGTTTAAATTAATCTGCAGTTTTTACCAAGAGCTAAGCCAATATATGTGCTTTTCAACCAGTATTGTCACAGCATGAAAGTCAGTCAGGTTCCAGACTGTTAAGAGGTGTAATCTAATGAAGAAATCAATTAGATGCCCCAAAATCTACAGTCGCTGAATAACCAATAAACAGTAACCTCCATCAAATGCTATACCAATGGACCAGTGTTAGTAGCTGCTCCCTGTACTATGTGAACAGTCTTATTCTATGTACACAGATGTAATTAAAATTGTAATCCTAACAAACAAAAGAAATGTAGTTCAGCTTTTCAATGTTTCATGTTTGCTGTGCTTTTCTGAATTTTATGTTGCATTCAAAGACTGTTGTCTTGTTCTTGTGGTGTTTGGATTCTTGTGGTGTGTGCTTTTAGACACAGGGTAGAATTAGAGACAATATTGGATGTACAATTCCTCAGGAGACTACAGTAGTATATTCTATTCCTTACCAGTAATAAGGTTCTTCCTAATAATTAATTAAGAGATTGAAACTCCAAACAAGTATTCATTATGAACAGATACACATCAAAATCATAATAATATTTTCAAAACAAGGAATAATTTCTCTAATGGTTTATTATAGAATACCAATGTATAGCTTAGAAATAAAACTTTGAATATTTCAAGAATATAGATAAGTCTAATTTTTAAATGCTGTATATATGGCTTTTGCTCAATCATCTCTCAGATGTTGTTATTAACTCGCTCTGTGTTGTTGCAAAACTTTTTGGTGCAGATTCGTTTCCAAAACTATTGCTACTTTGTGTGCTTTAAACAAAATACCTTGGGTTGATGAAACATCAACCCAGTGCTAGGAATACTGTGTATCTATCATTAGCTATATGGGACTATATTGTAGATTGTGGTTTCTCAGTAGAGAAGTGACTGTAGTGTGATTCTAGATAAATCATCATTAGCAATTCATTCAGATGGTCAATAACTTGAAATTTATAGCTGTGATAGGAGTTCAGAAATTGGCACATCCCTTTAAAAATAACAACAGAAAATACAACTCCTGGGAAAAAAGGTGCTGATTCTATAAGATTATTTATATATGTAAGTGTTTAAAAAGATTATTTTCCAGAAAGTTTGTGCAGGGTTTAAGTTGCTACTATTCAACTACACTATATATAAATAAAATATATACAATATATACATTGTTTTCACTGTATCACATTGAAGTACTTGGGCTTCAGAAGTAAGAGCCAACCAACTGAAAACCTGAGATGGAGATATGTTCAAAGAATGAGATACAATTTTGTAGTTTTCAGTGTAACTCTCGGCATTTCAAAAGAGTAAGTATCTCACAAATAGGAAATACAACTAAAACGTAGATTTAAAAAGAACTGCACGGGCTTTAGGGTAATTGCTCATCTTAAACCTCACTAGAGGGAAGTCTTTTCAAGTTTCAAGCAAGACCATTTACTTAATGTGAAGTTTTGGAAAGTTATAAAGGTGTATGTTTTAGCCATATGATTTTAATTTTAATTTTGCTTCTTTTAGGTTCGTTCTTATTTAAAGCAATATGATTGTGTGACTCCTTGTAGTTGCACTTGTGTTTCAATCAGATCAGATTGTTGTATTTATTCCACTATTTTGCATTTAAATGATAACATAAAAGATATAAAAAATTTAAAACTGCTATTTTTCTTATAGAAGAGAAAATGGGTGTTGGTGATTGTATTTTAATTATTTAAGCGTCTCTGTTTACCTGCCTAGGAAAACATTTTATGGCAGTCTTATGTGCAAAGATCGTAAAAGGACAAAAAATTTAAACTGCTTCTAATAATCCAGGAGTTGCATTATAGCCAGTAGTAAAAATAATAATAATAATAATAATAATAATAAAACCATGTCTATAGCTGTAGATGGGCTCCACATCTGTAAAGCAATCAATTGTATATTTTTGTGATGTGTACCATACTGTGTGCTCCAGCAAATGTCCATTTGTGTAAATGTATTTATTTTATATTGTATATATTGTTAAATGCAAAAAGGAGATATGATTCTGTAACTCCAATCAGTTCAGATGTGTAACTCAAATTATTATGCCTTTCAGGATGATGGTAGAGCAATATTAAACAAGCTTCCACTTTTGACTGCTCTTTTGTATTGTGTTTCTTTTTTTTCCCCACTAAAGAACCAAATCGACAAACACTGCCCTTTGTTGCTTCCATTCAAAGAGTATCTCTGAGTACCTGTTCCCTAAAAATAAAGTCAGAGTTTAAATGAGTGCTATATAAAGGCTTGTCAGAATGAATTCTAGGGTGCCAAGAGACATTTTGCATATTTAAGAGTATGCAAAGTGTCTCATGGCACATTAGAATTCATTCTGACAAGCCTTTATATAGCTCTTATTTAATCTTAAAGCATCTCCACATCATCCTGCATTACTCAAAATCATTGCCTCTATGTCAATGTCATAACAGAAAACTCTCCCCCTATTTTAAGATCATATTAAAACCTGCTAGAGATACCCATTATTTCCCTCTATCAACAATTAAATCATGCGCTTGCTCCGAGCTCATCGGCAAGCTGCAGGCTGTGTGGAGCAGCAGTGGAGTTGCTGACCACATTTCCTGAACGGGAAGTCAACAAGCAGAGCTTAGACATTGGTGTGAATTAGGAGGGGGAGCTGTCTTCGAATTCGAGAGGGTTAAACAGCACTGCTGACAGCAAATGGCCTCCTCTTGCCTTTTACACTCAGAGAGGTTATAGCCTTGCTGCTCAGGGTCAAGTTGTAGCTTCCACTGGACCCTCCTGGAGCCATCACCAAAGTGCTAATATGTGCTTTCTTGGCTTCTCTGCCCATCTTGAGGGTATTTTGTCATTGTGTTTGCCCACCGTATTTCTCACCTTTCAGAGGTGGTTGGTTCTCTAGAGAAGCAAGCTGATGACACAAAGGCCACTAAACTGAATTGCTTTTAGGGGCACGGGATTACCTAAATGACTAAGATGCACTAGCAAACAAGATAGCTCAGTATTGTCTTTTTTAAAATATATTTTAATGTCCTTTGAGTGGCAACAGTTCAACATAAAATCTGACATGTTTTACTTTTGATATTTTTTAAGTGCTTGGATGGGACTGAAACAATGCAAGATACAAACCTAAAAGGAAAAATCGTGTCTGTAATCTTCCAACGAGGTCCTCATTGTAAAATATGTTAGGCACAAACACACACACACACACTTTTAAGAATTCCTGTTAGAACTGTCCTGCTGTTTTTATAATTTAGAATTCTTACAGGACAACTTTTCTGGTGCTGACATATTTATCATTGATGCCTCAGGTGTAAAAGGAAATGAAGTAGGATTTTGACATTTCAGCACATTGTTTCTCAATATATAAACAACAAGTACCTCTGACAAATGCATTATATATTTGTTTTAAGGGATCAGTTTTATTTTCATCAGTTGTTTATAAGCAATTTATTTTTAAGCCAGCGGTCCCCAAATTTGTCTGCATATTGAAATCACCTGGGGAGTGTCAAAATTCCTGATCCTCATGTCCCACCTGCAGAGATTGTGGTTTCATTGATCCAAGATGTGGCCTGGGTTTTGGAATGCTTCCAAAAGATCTCCAGGTGATTCCAATATGAAAATGAGATGGAGAAACACTTGCTTTAAAGTTTTATACTTTTATCAAATAAACAAAAAATAATGAACTTTTTAATATTGGTTCTACATTTTTGTTAGGGTTTCTTTTCAATAACAAGACAAAAATACTTAACCTTTTTTTCCTTACCAAACCAATGAAAGGCACTTTGATTGTTTTGACCTCCACAAAACACATGAAAAATATATTTTATTTGATAACTCCCAAGTCACATCTTCCTGTTATATCTCCGTATAAAGATGGAGATGGATGGCAACTCAAAAACTTGTTTGCAGAATATCTTACAACCCCCTCACCCCACCACCACTTTTTAAGTCCTACTCATTTGGCCCATTTATGTGCTTTAGAATTAATTTAGGTAGGATCCAAAAAACCTGTCTTTCCCTATTGACAAACAAAAGAGCAACAAAATTAGAAAATTTTGATTTCTTGGAAGGACTTCTCTTACCTATATTTTTCAAGTTGTTGATTTAGGTGAGAGGTACAAATGAGATAGAATACTTCATCCTTGAACCTCTGCAAAAAACTTTAGGTGCACTTTGCTTGTTATGAAATTAATTTGTGATTAACTTGTGAAAGAAAAGAGAGCTATGCTTAAGGCTTTTGTTTCATCTACAATGGTTTACATCCTGAATGGAGAGGACCACAGACCAATAGATAAGAAAGTGTCTAAGTCAGTGCATCTGGCCTTTCAGATCTCCAAATCTAGCTTCTCATGCCCCCGGTAGTGTGGAAAAAACAAAATGAAACAAGTAGCAGTAGATGGATTGTGTACTGCATCTTATTGTGAAACAAATAGAAAAGAAAGGAATTTCAAAATATAATCCTGCTTTCCCAGGAGTATTTGTCTGTTTCTTCATGAAGTTAAAGGTCTGAAATAATGTGACCATCAGGGGCTCAATGTTGCATGTCCATGCCAGTTGGTCCAAGGGCTTGTTATGATGGTAATGACCCACTGAAACGTGAGCTTGGATTGCACAATACAATTGCTACCAACTCACCCGCTGGGAGAAATATTTTATTATTGTCAAATATCCTCCACAGAGATTTGTTTTGCCTGTTTCTGTTTAAATTAAATTCAAAGCAGAACTGCATTACTATTTCTCCGGAGTATATTTCAGATAAACTAGTCTCAAAATTTAGGATTCCTGGCTACTTCAAATTTGTTTATTAGCAGAAAAATTACAATAGGTGACACCACAGCTGCAGGAATATTATGATTGCAGCAACACAAGAGATTTACATACTGAGTCTGCAGCCTGAAAGCAAGAACTCACTTTTTCATTACAGGCACCAGCCAGATTAATAATGAACCATTTCATCTATTGTACAATCTTTAAAAAAGTACCAATATGGTCATGTATTGCCATAACATGTCACAGAAATTCAAACATGAGAAACTTTGCTTGAAGTAAGAAGTGTTTTTGACATAAGATCATGAACCAAAAGTGTATATGTGTGTATATTAAAAAAAGAAACAGAGTAGACATAGCAGAGCCCATGAATGAAAATGCTCTTTAAGTATAATATGTATTTAACAGTATTATTTTTTAAAAGAACTGAAAACAGGCTGGGCACAGTGGCCCATGCCTGTAATCCTGGAGCTTTGGGAGGCAGAGGTGGCAGGATTACTTGACCCCAGGAGTCCAAGACCAGCTTGAGACTCCATCCCATAAAAAACTAAAGCTAAAAAAAAAAAAAAAAAAAAAAAAAAGAATTGAAAACAATGTAGTGGAGTATAGGGGATTATTTGGATAATTTTGCCAGAAGTCCTATATCACAACTTTAATGAAGGATTCTGAATCAGTTAAGCTTTAGACTACAAATTTTATTACATGCAATCAAACGAGAAATGGACTTTACCGTGAGGAAAAAAAAAGTGCTCGGCGTTTTGAAAATAATAGTGGCTTGTGTGTTTTGCAGTGGGCTGAACTTTGGAGAGCTGATTTTAGGAAATGGCAAACAAACTTTTGGGAGGGGTCGCTAAAAGGGCCTAACAGGAAAACATTTCAGACTAGCGGGAACATCAAATCACACTATTCACACTCCAATTCAATCTGCCATTCTCAGTCGAATTTCACAGTTTTACTGGGAATTGAAGAACTGTCTGCTATTTTTAAAAAGTGCATAGAAAGCTAAAGTCTTAAGAGGAATTTCCAAAGTGAAGTCTATAGCCATGCAAGTGTTAACTTTTTCCCTTAAAATATTGGCTTCTTTAATCATTACAAATGAAGAATACTAGCGATTAATACTAAACACTATTTTGCAGGTATTTTTGTAATAATCTCTCTGAGATTCTTTATCTCCACTGCACTTTTATTTTGCCTGGGTCTTCCTTTTGAAATCAGAATGAATTGACCATCCCTAATGTACCAAATTTGTTCATGCTTATAAATCAAAAGAAGATTTGTGGCCTATTTTTTAATTGCACATATAGAAAAAAAGCCACTTTCTCCACAGAAATAAGTACGTAGTTCAGAGTAATTTCTGGGCTGGTTATTAAGTAAATAGATGTTTAATATGAGTATGTTTTTACACACAAGGAATTCTATGATACATGACTCACTTATTTGGGTTTAATAAGATTTGGTGGTGCTTAAATATACTGGGGAAAGTGATAAAGAGAAACAGTATGCCATACTGGTTACATGCATAAACTGAGTTTTCAATGTATAGGTTCAAAGTCAACTCTGCCACTAACTAGCTGTGTGATGTTATTCCTAGTTAAGTATATTCAATTGCTTAGATAAATGGGGATAAATACACTATTAAGGGGTTGTTATTAAGATTAATTTAGATAGTTTAGGTAAATACTTTGTATCTATTTTAAAAGTTCAATATGTTGAAAACGTAATTTCTTTCTTCCTCTTTATGTCTTTTCCAAGAGAGGCTAGATGATACTCCAGGATAATCTAATTCAAACTGGGAGAAAAGTCTTTAGGTCAGGGGAATAATGCAGGTGCTTGGGATGCAGATGCACAGGAGGTTGGTTGCTTTGGGGAGCTTCTCTTGAGTGGGTATTAAGATAGTATAGAAACAGGGTTGCCCTGATGCACATTGCAGGTTCAGCCAGAAACCAATCGTGGGCCTGTGTGCTGGACACGATGCTCAGTTCTTTAAATACATTATACCATTTAATAGCTCAAATTTCTTTATGAGGGAAATGCCATTAATATCTTCATTTTATAGATGAAGAAAAGGAGTTTCAGATAAGTTAAATAACTTGCTCAAGGACCAAATAATTAGTACACGAATCAATTAAATTAGAACGCAGCTTGTCTAGCTCCTGAACCTAATATCTTAAAACACTGACCCTATATTTAGCAGTGTCTTGAACACTGAACAATAGTACTTTTTTTTAAAGTTTGAATAGGTGGAACACAGAGTGAATTAATTCTGTTGCTTAGATCAAGAAATACTATCTCATTCCCTCATGTCTCTTTCATTCCTGCAATGTCTCTTTGTGAGTCCTTGAAAAATATATAATG